GGCCCAGCCCAATGAACTATGTGGTAAATTGAGCCTTTTGGCTTTGGACTAACATCATAAGCAATTTGTACTATGTTTAAGCAAGCATAAAAGTGGTTCTCAAAAGTGTGTTTATGGAGTGCCTGTGCCGAAACTTTTGGCAGTCAGGGTTAGGGCCAGAGTCAGACCCACAGCAGTTTCCTGTTTCACTCTGTAGTTTCTGGTCTCCTCTCTGTCCTTTCCTGCTTTCTGTCATATGAAGCTCACTTCCACATTGTACTTTGGGAGGGAGCAGCATCTGACAGTAATGGGTGCAGAATGAAGCCTTGTGGGGCAGAGGGCAAGGGGGCTACCTCACCCCACCCCTCTCCCAGCCACTATTTTCCCTGTTATAGCAATAGGCGAGGGATGAATTCAGGACAAAACTCTGATCATCAGATTCTACATCTGGTCAATTATAACAAATTTATAAAATTTCCATGCATACAATCTAATTTGGGGGGGTTGTCTTATATTCAGGATCATCTTGTATTTAAGTAAATACAGTACCTACATTTTGGGACAGATTGGGCTGAAAATTCTCCATTCAAAACTTTATGATCCAAAGAAAAATAATTTGCAGACATGTATTTGATATGTTGTGAAAGCTATTGTCACTTACTACAGCAATGTCAAATAATGACTCAGGTGATCAACAATCAGTACACCTTTTGAAATGGAAGTGACATCTCTGACAAAATATTCTACCAGGTTTTATTTTGATGCTGAGTCAGCATTTAGGAATCACAGAGCCCCTGTGGGACAATCCAAGAAACAAAACTGTTTCTTGGATTGTCTGTTTTTATTAGATGGATTCTCATAAAATCTCATAAAAGTGACTGAGAGTTATAAAAATTTGCTGGGTCAAACAGGTGCAATGAAAAGTGACTGTATAATCAGTATTAGTCACTTCTCTATGCTTCACTGAAATACAATATGAAGAACTGTCTGCTTCCTCTCTTAGAGCAACCCTTTACTAAGTTTTGACTGTGAAGCCCCTAAGTTTACAAATGGAAGTTTGCAAGTCTTTTTAGGAGCACAACCACATTGTCCAGGTGACTGCATTTACAAGAGTAGCAAATGGTATGGTATGGTATGGTAAAATGGATTAAGAATAAGATGGTCGTTGTGATCCGCAACTCAAAAACATGGGCTGAATCACCAGTTCTTCCATAGGCTTTTTACTATATTTTCTTTCATATAACCTGCATCTTTTCTTCCAAAGCCAGCTGGGGGAAATTGGGATGTGCATTATATGCAAGGGAAAAGGGATCTCCATAGGTCTGTAAATGGGGTTGAGGAAGTGGAACAGTGACAGCTTTAATTGCTGTGCCTCTGAAAGCCCCCCTGCTACTGCCCTCCTTTCCCCCCACCACTAAATTTCCAGATCCATGGGGAGCCCCTCTACATCTATGCACCGGATTGGGCTGGTATGTGGGGTCAGTCCACAAGTGGACCCAGCATGCTGAGTCCCACCTAACACATGGCCCCAGACCTAATGTGCTGGCTCCAACCCCACACACTGGCTCTGGAGTCACCAGGCAGGTTGAACCTGTTGCACTGCGTCCAGGACTGCACAACAGCTCTAGGGCTATATGCTGGGCCGGATCTGGTGCACTGAGTCCAGGACCCCACATGCATTGGCTCTGGGGCCTCATGCCAGTTTGGACCCAGAAGATAGCTCCAAAGCATGGTCCTGGCCTCGGCGCATGGCCCCAGAGCCACTGTGCACGGTCAAACCCAGCATGTGGCTCTGAAGCCAGTGAGCAGCCCTGAACCAGGTGTGCAATCCTGGACTCAGTGACCTGTTGGGCTGCAAAGTCTCCAACCTTCTGCATGGGGTCAGTCCTGATGCACAGTTCCAGAACCAGCATCCTGGATCAGTCCACAGGCCCCATCCAGCACATGGGCCTGGCAGCAGACTCAGCATCTTATCTGCCACTATTTGGATCCTTACCCAAGGTAAGACCTTTTTTCCTTCATGGTACCTTTTAAAAATAGGGTGTGTGATATATTAAGAGGTAGGTTGGTAACTGATTTAGGGTAAGTCTCTCACTCTTCCCTGGCTTCATTTGACAGCTAAAATTTAAAATGAAGCCAGGAAAGAATGAGAGACTTGTCCTAAAACTTCCACTATATTTTCTCACATATACCTCACCTCCGAATATAACACACACACTATTTTAAAATATAACATGAAGAAAAAAAAGATCTTACCTTGGGTAAGGCTCTTTGCCATTCAGACTTCAAGCCCCCTCAGACAGGGGTATCCTCTCACCGTGTGCACATACAGAATCTAGCACAATGAGCCTTGCTCTGGGTTGGAGCCTCTTAATGATGCCATACTACTACTGCTACTAATACTGATACTACTACTACTAATAATGTTGAAAAGGATCTAGCTATTTATACCTTTGTCACAGCTACTGTACCCACAGCCAGTGAGCACTGGTGAGCAGGTGTACTTGTGGTAATAAAGGGCTAAGTGCCAGTGAGAATGAAAAATGGAAAATGGCAGATGCAAAAGCTCAAGGTCAGCACCTCTCATGATTTTGGCGCAATTCTGCCAGTCAGATTAATCTGGGCTTTTACATTAGGAACAGAAGATGGGAGACCCTGATGTTCACCATTGCCTACCACTGCCATCACAGGTCTCAGAGGATACACCAGCGTGCCGGACCATCTTGCTCAATGCTCCAGAGTGAAGTGAAGCTAGTGCTAGTGCCAGGGGCTGGGCTCAGCCAGGTCACAAAGAGCAGGCAGGGGAAAAGCCAGATGGTGGGGAGGAAGCCCCCCACATAAGCATACTCAACCCACCCAAACCCCAACCACATGCCCCACACATGCACCCATACCCCCTCACATACCCCATCCCCACCATCCCCACACCCCACACGCATCCCACACCCACAGACTTCCACACATGTATCCACACCCCACATACACACCCGTACACCTCCCCACACATGCACCCACACACCTCACCTGCTACCATACCCACACACACATCCAACAATCCCACACACCCCACACCCCAACTACACGTCTCACTCCCCCACACATCTACACACACACCCATACACACCCCACCCCCACCATACCCATACACACCAACAGTCCCACACACCCCACACCTCAACAACACCCACCTCACACACATCCCACCCCTATCCCCCGGCACCATACCCACACACCACACACCCCCAACCACATCCTCCCCCAACCACACCCCAAACCCCTCCACACACATTATACAAGCAAACCATACCCCATCCCAAAAGTAGTACTTCCTGGGCAAGGGGAAAGACTTCCAGTGGCAAAGGTCATGGGTTAGGAGGTGGGACTTCTGGTCCCAAGATGGCAACTGGGGGTGGGGCACCTGTCAAGGGGCGAGGCTACCCTTGCAGCCCTCAACACCTCACCAAGCAGCCCTCCACCTAAAATAATTGCCCACCTCTGCTCTAATGCAATGTCGTGGCCTGGCCTGACAGGAAGATGAATCACTTCTCTTGCATCAACAGGGAAAAATTCAGAGCCAGCAAAGGAAAACCTTCTGGGGTGTGTATGGCTTTTCTGTAAAAAGGTTTTTTGCTTCCTAATCCAAATGATGGAGCATGTATTAAAAAGGAGGGGGCTAAAAAGATGGTGCTCAATTCCTCTCCCACTTCAATCAGCTTTATTCCCAGGGCAGTCACACTGATTACATCAGGAATGAATACACTGAAGTCATTCTTGGATAAGTGATTCCTGGTTGGGGTTGGTTTTTGGTACTGACCTCAGTGAAGTCCTTCCCAGTACACCCTGTAATGAGTGGGAAGAAAGACAGGCCCTAGATTTAATACATAATTAACATTGGTTCCCCTTCTTTTCTGTTTCTTTCAAGCTTGATTCCCTATGGCACACTTGGATCTATTTCATCTTTGCAATAGATGATTGGTGTTGATCACAGCTGGATGGACTCAACCAGTAAACAAAATTTCCTCCATCCAGTGGCAGGGTTGGTTGTGTGCATACAGATTCAGACAGGGACCTTCTTGGCCTTTAAGCAGTGATGCTACCAGGTAAGAGGAAGTGAAGAACCTCTTGCTGATCAACATATGCAACACTTGTCCTAAATGGAGTCCTAGGTCTTCTGTTTACAGTCGGTGTTTTCAACCTTTTTTAATAAGTGTACCCCTGGCAGCCGGGTATGGGGAGAGGGGGGGAAGAGAGCGGGGATGGTGGTGTGTGGCCAGATGTGGAGCAGCAGCAGCATGGTGTAGTGGATGGCAACAACAACCACTGCCGTGTGCGAACCCCCCACTGCGTCCAACTGGCCGGGTGGCGCCTGTCTGGCCCTGCAGAGGGATGCCACTGTCCTTGCCCTGCCCCAGCCCTGCTCCTGGGAGGTGGCAGCACAGGGTGATGGGTGGTGGCGCTCCATCCCCACCTGCCTGCATGTACCCCCTAGGGCCTTCCCAAGTACCCCTGGGGGTACGCATACCCCAGGTTGACAACTCCTGGTTTACAGCAAGATGTGTTTTCATACATCGACTGTCCATACCAATTCCTTAATCTAACTCTAGGCTATTACATCTTTCTCCCTTTAGCTTCACAAACTTCCATTTTAGCTCTTTTGCTTCCATTGGAAACAAATAGCAGGAGCAAATGGAATAAATACCACTGTGACCTTGCACATATGAGAACAATGTCTTCATGGTGATAAGGAATAATCATTCATGTTTCTCTAGCCCCTTTCAGCCAGGTACCTGAACGCACTGAGCAGTACGTGAATGTCTCCTACCACTAAGGTGAAGCAAACTTTAGCATTCCTGTTTTACAGACAGGCAAGCCAAGCCCAAGGTCATGCAGTGAGTCACTGTCACAACCAGCATTATGATACAGGCCTGCCAACTCCTTGTCCTGTGCTGTAGCCATTTGGGGATGCCTCCACCATGGCTAGCATGTGCATGAGTTTGGTCCCCTCAGAGCTTTCCCTGTACCTGAATATGACTGGCCCACAGTAGGGTGGATGGATCTTGATGCACATGTCCTCCAGCTGCAGCCGTTCCGTGGGGCTGATGTCATAGGCATGCTTTGGGTAGCTCACCAGCCAGCCGTAGTCCACACCCGTCTTTGTTTTGCGATATTCATTTTCCCTCTCATGTTGCTGCTTCTCTGCTTGCTTGATCTGCCAGCTGAGCTCCATCATGAGCGTCTCCAGCACCATCTCAGTGGGGTTCCTCTGGGAGACCCGGTTCTGTGGCTCGTTCCATTTGAACAAGGAAGCCAGAGACATGGTGCCCTAGGATTTTACCTGTAAAGAAAAAAATATTATGTTTCTTGTTAATGCTATCAGTTCATCTGATGCCCGTGCCCAAACCATACTATATACACACCACAGGCAGGGCAGAGGGAGTGGGTTTTGAAAAGCTCATCATCCAGCAGCTTCACATGGCGAATAATTGGGTCAAGTACCTTGGAAAATCTCCCAGGAAGGATCAGACTGTGCTTTCCCTTCGTGCTGAGGATCAGAGGGGGTGCAAAGAAGCACTGTCCCACCTGTTGTCCCATTCACACCCTCATTAAGGGTCTAGTCGCAGTCTCAGTGTCTGAGCTTAGAAGAGCACAGTACCTACTCTCATCTGGTAACCATGGAGAAGCATCATATACTAAAGAGGCAGAAGTGGGGCGAAAACATTTACAGTTACAGCACAGAGCATCTGTGTGAGTGACTGCGTAATGATCACTGAGGACTCGGCCCTGATGAACCATGTATCCCCAACTGTCCAGTGAGATAGTGCTGCTTCATGGCAAAGCTGTTCCTTAAAAACACCATGAACCCAAGAATGTACTTTTCTGAGATCTATGATCTAGCAGTGAGAGAATTCCCAGGAGGTGATTGAATAGCAGGGCTTGTTTAATGCTGCTGATACAGAAAGGCCCAGCTTTTCATGCAGGTCTCTGAAAACACTCTCTGCAAGTGGGTTAGGATTATCATATTTTTTGACATTGATGTTTTTAGATGTTGTATCACTGCTCAATGGAAACCACAAGCCTGAACTTAGGCCTCTAGACCCCATAAACAAAGCAAGAAGACAGGTCAGTATCTACAAATGGGATTCCCCAAACCAGAGCACTGCCAAAGGCAGCCAATAGGAAATATCAAGGAGAGGGACATAACCAAAGCCCTGCCCTTCACAGGGATGTAGACACCCAACTCTGTCCTGCAGGGAGGTGCTTGTCTCTGCCCAGGATTCACAACCTGAACCTGCTCCTGGATTTAGAAACCTAAGCCAGCCTTTCCTCCAAAGATAAGGCTGGGAAAGGTAATGATGCCATCCCATGCCTTATTTTATCCAGTAGCTCAGTGGTTACAGCACTTTCCTGGGATGTAGAGACCAGGGTTTCAATTTCTTTCTTGGTCAGAGAGGATTTGAACATGCATCTCTCATCTTCCAGGTCAATGCTCAAACCACTTAGCTAAGCTCTAAGACAGGGGCCAGCAAGCCTTTCAAGTCACGGGCTAGAACACCTCAGCTCTGGGCTGACATAGGCCAGGTGGCTTTCATGGTGCATCAGTGGCAGAGGGCTTTCCTCATTCCCACACCAGAACCAGGCAACTGGTAGCTGTGCTCATGCTGCAGCCACTTCTTCCAGCCCCCAGCTCCCTAGCTGGGGCATGAGTGCAGCTTCCAGCTAGTGGAGAATTGCACCTGGGCTGGGCAGCTGGAAGCTGTGTCTACGATGCTTCCAGCTCTGTGCCACCAGCTGGGATTTGGGGAGTAGGAGGGGCACGGAGGATATGGCAACAGTGAGAATGTAGCTTCTAGCTGCCCATCCCCAACGCCACTCCCCACCAGCTGGAAGCTGCACCCATGCTGCAGTGGCAGCAAAAGTGCAGCTGGGAGTTGTCTGGTCTCAATACAGCTTCTGACTGCTTAGCCCCAGTGCAGGCATGGGTATGGGCATGGGCAAAGCCCTCAACCTCCATGGGCCAGATCCAGTGGCTCACAAGCTGTATGTTACCAATCCCTGCTCTAAGATATTCTCGGGGGGTGGGGGGAGGTGAGATTCTTAATCCCATCAGTTGAAGCAAAGAATAACTAAATATTCATTTGGTCAGAAAGAGGGCATGACTAGTTCAGTGGTTAGGATGCTACAGAGGAGAGATACTGGGCTTCCAGTCCCTGCTCCAATGACTATTTCATATAAAATACTTAAACAGTGCAGCAGGGGTGGAAATCACCCACTTTCCAGAGAGGCTGCCTTAACTGCTAAGCCAGTGATTCTCAGCCAAGGTGGTTTGGCCCCCTGGGGTGCCACAAGATCCTTTAAAGTGTGCTTCTGGGTGCTGTGCAATATTAGCACTACAAGATGAGGTAGCTCCTGCACCAGATTCACAGGATAAACCCAGAGATTTTAAATAGGAAACATGCCGACCTGTTGTGGTCTTTCAGAGTTCTTTGCGACAGAAGAATTGTTCTGGTATTTTTCCATAGTCAGAGAATGCATTGAAAACTGAGAGCTGGTATTTCCCCCGGGGTGCCTGCAGTCTGAAAAGGTGGAGCACCACTGCCCTAGCCTAAACAGTCATGCTCACTTTCCATGCAAAGGGAACAAGATGCAGCCCTATCCCACCAGTAGACTCAGTGCCATCACAGTCTTCTGCTGCGGTGTACCTCCACCGAAACCAGGGGAAACACAGAATTTGCCTCTAGATAGCACCTCATAATTCTTAGAGGGCATGCTGGTGTTGGCTGGCTCCTCTTTGGTTTGCAAAGCCAGATGTCAGGGCAGTTTTGGGTTTGAGAGCTGTCTTACTGGCCTCTCCAGTAAACCATCTCCAATCACCATATAGCTCTTAGCAGTAGCAGAAGCAGCTGAATTTGTCACATAGTCAAGCAGAGCTTTGAGTTTAAACAGAGGAGTTGTACACAGAGGAGCCTGGGCCAGCACAAACAACTATCACAAGTGCTAATGGAGCAGAGACGATTGTGCTGGGGAAAGTACCAACAAGCACAGGCCTGCACTATAATTCTCACATGACGCTCACCTGGACAGCAGGGCAGGCTGTGTTTGTACTGCACTTAAGAGGCAGAGCAAGCCACACCAATTAACTCTGTAAAAGACCAGTGAAAACTCTGCTATTTAATCCCCTCCTGTAATCACTTTAACAGCAAACAGGAACAAAGCTATTACTGACCATTGTATTTATGACTATATTTCACACAAAAGAGACTGGGGCAAGAGCCAGTGAAGGAGATCACGCCCAGAACCATACCTGCTCTTTCTTCAACATGATACACTTACAGGCCTTGTTGCTTCCATCCATTAGCCCTCAGGGAGAAGGGTATACTCTGCTGAGTTTACAGAGCACCTACTGTTGAGCTAGACCTTGGACTGTTGCCACTGCCAGGAAATGGCATACCACAGTGCAAGAGGCTAGAGAAAAAGATAAAGGGCTGAGGACCTGCAGGGTGGTGAGAGAGTGAGTACCATCCGGCATGGTTACAAGTGTGCTCAGATTTCTGTCTGAGGAGAGACTGCAGGGGCTGGAGGACTCAGCAGGGCTGGTCAAAAGTTGGGTTTCTGAACAAAATTATTTTGTTGTGAAAAGTCTCTACTCCCACATACATTTTTTAAACAGGGAAGGGAAGACAGACTGCACCAGCAGAAAGAATGCCTTGTCACTAAGCTAATACAAAATTTATCCTTCACAATGCTTTTTTGATGGAAAATTAAGAATTTTCATAACTCTCCATTTTTGTTAAAAAAAAACAAAATTCACAAAAACAGTGCATTATTGTGAAACAATAGGCGACTGTCTTAAAAGTCTTAAATGGCAACTTGTGGCCTTAGTTTTTCAGTGAAACCCAAAAAGATATTTGAAGAAACAACCTTGTGCTTAAAACTAACCCAGACTCCAGAACAGAAAGTTTTTTGCAGTTACAGTCATTTCCAGAGGAGAGCCGTCTTTCCTGATAGTCCCGTTTGACTTCCATTAGTAACCTGGTACTTTATGCTGCTCCCAGATGTACCAGATACCCACCCCCATGCTTTCTATGGAACATTGATAAGAAGGAACAGTGGGATCATAATAGGTGGCATGGAAAACTGGCAGTGAAGCAGTTAATGCAATGCAAACAGGAAGAATATAATGTCTGCAGTTTTCTACTTGCTTTAAAATGACATGCATGTGCATTATGATTCACCTCTATTTCATTTGCACTCTTCAGAACACAATCTATTTCAAGCACTCAACAAGATGCTAAGCACCAACACTTCAGCTTTTCCTCTGGATCAAAAAACCTAAAATCATTTTCCCCTGGATTTCCTGAGTCAAATTAAATGTAGCGTAGTGAAGTCCAGAGACAGACAAATACTTATAAAGCTCTATATGTGGTCTCCCATATCTACACTTTGCCTTCCCCTCTTACAAAACTATTAAAATTAGAAGCTCAAATAGGTGGATAAAATAAAAATAAGGATTTCTAAAGCTCCTATAGGAGACTTAAGATACTTAGTCCCAGTGAATTTTAATAGATTGAATGTACTTAAATCTCTTAGCTGCTTTTGAAAAGACCACCTTTATGGTTACAGGTAAAACCTGAAAATGGCACTAGGTTCAGAAATCAGGGGGAAAATGAATTTCATATCTGAGACCTAGAGCAGACTTTGACACACGAATGCAGTATTAATTACCAAAAGTTTGTAATCTCTCAGAAATCCAGGTGGCATTTAGAATACTCTAAATGTCTTACAATTGCCTTCCAAATTCTTAACAGCTTTTGCAGATCTAGCCAATTGTTCATCCATACACATGCCATTAAAAGAATCCAAAGTACTAAAGAAATTATCCTTAAAAGGTCTATGTTTCATTTTTTTGCATTCCAAGTTAAATATCTTAAAACCTAATTCATAGGCTTTATACTGACATAAATTACCAATGGACAAAACAACATGCTATATGCTATATAATGCTGCTATGTTATAATGTAATATAAATAACACTGGGCACATCTACGTGTTCATTAATGCACTTTTGGTAATCCACATTAAATTTAGCACTTACATTGTGAGGTACTAGAAAAAGGTGCATTAGCCTATTTTTAATGAGCATTAGCAAAAGTGCATGGTTTTTTAGTGATGCTTTAATATGCATTAAAATAAGCTAATGCACATTAAAGTGAATGTGTAGATGTGTACACTGTTCCTTTTAAGAGGAAACAGGCTGGCACTTATCCCAGTGTGGCAGACTATAGGTTGCTATAACTGCAGCCCACCATTAGCTGGCAAGGGAGCTGGTAATCC